GTACTTGGACCCTTAGGGTAGGTCTCTCGGTTTAAGATTTCGGGTTTGAATATCGGGCTTGGATTAGAAAATAAGGTTTTGGGTTTAGGGGTGGGGGCCTAGATTTTTAGGATGATTCCGAACTTGGAAAATCACGAGGGTTGCGTCTATATACGCTTGGCATGTAAAGTGCAGGTAAGGGCCGATTCGACTGGGATGGGGTTGTGAGGTACATTATACCATATGATAGAAGGATCACACACGGATGATAATGGTGGGTTACGGCTTCCAAAATAAGGCATTTTGTTTTGACATGCGGATGTAGTGTTTAGGGATGAGGGATTGGTGTTTTGGGTTTTTGGATGTAGGATTTGTGCGCAAGGGCTCCAATATAGACATTCACAAGAACCGGCAATACATGGCAGAAGCCCCTACCTAAACTCTAAACCAAGACCGGTAACCGCGTGAAGAAAGGCAGCGTGATTTTGTTTTCCTCTGCACAAGGCTTCAGAAGTTCGCCTGCGACGCGCTCTGCAGCAAGAGTTCCACCAGGTCTGTGTAGCCCTTGCCTGGATTTTGGCTTTAGCTTGGGTACTGCCGCCACCCAGTAGCAGTCTATATTACGGTACCTTGAGTTGGGCGTATACATCATAATCAGCCGCCAAAGCTGCCATAACCTCCCATAAACCTTGAAGTTATAAACCCTCAACCCCAAACCCCTAGATCCAAAACCCTAAACCCTAACCGTAAACCGCATAAAAACTTTGTCTAAGTCCGCTCGAACCACTTCTAGCCCAATCGACGGGTGTTTGTCCCTCCTGGTCCTTGATGTTCACCTGGAGGGTTGCGGAAATAAGTTTGCGCAGCCCCCTAAACCCTAAACCAGAAATTGTGGCATCTTTTGCCTCCCATTCTATAGGGATCCAAGTATATAACTAATACCTGCATTGGGCCCTAAAGTCTGTAAATATTACCTATATTGGGCTATTTGGATCCCTGGGATTCTTTTAAACTCCCACCTCAGCCTTGTGTTGCACAAGTAGCGAAACAAAGTTGGCTTCGTGCGCATGCGTCGCCCGCACGAGTAATGGCTCCGAAGCTGGCATTCGAAAGTTTGGATCTGCCCTGTGTTCCAGGAGCGCAGCTGCAACTTCCACATTACCGAAAACGTAAGCCCGTTCAAGAGGCGTAGCGCCATCTACCTCCATGGAATCCACTTCAGCTCTATTCTCCAGCAACATCTCTGCCAACTTCGTGGTGCCTTGCGCAGCAGCCACATGAAGGGGGGTGCTGTTGCCTGGTTGGATTTTGTCCGCCTGGGCCCTGTGCTGCAGCAGCAGGCGCACGGCATCTTCATCTTCCAGATTAACAGCCGCACCTAATGCTGTATAGCCCTCTGGATCCCTAGCATCCACCTTGGCCCTACTCTTCAGCAACAGGTCCACAAGACTCGCATCACCCTGCACCGCATGTTGAACCACAGCGGCATGCAATGGGCCCTCTGCGTTCTCGAGCCGGGCATCCACGCGAGCTCTGCTCTGCAACAGCAAGGCCGCGATTTCTGTATGACCTGGTGGTTTCCACAAATTGGGTGTAGCTTTTTGAAATGGGTCCTGTAGAAAGTAGGGATTATAGTCTCTTGGGCGGTCTATATTGGGGCCACCCTATTTATGAACACTACCACCTTCATCTGCCGTAAGGAGAAGTGCCGTTCGGCCGTGCAAATCTTCGACATCGACATGGGCTTTGTGCTCCAACAGCTGCTCCACAATGTCCTCGCGGCCGGCGATCGCTGCCCTGGTAAGGGGCGTCCAGCCCATTGCATCCTGTGAGTTCACGGGCGCCTTGTTTTGTAAGAGCAGGGATGCAATGTGCTGGTCTTGTGCAGTCGCTGCATGATGAAGGGGCTCCTCCCCGTCGTTCATCCGGGAGTCCAGCCATGCGCCGTGGCTCACCAGCATTTCTACCATCTCCTTCGTTCCCAAGATCGTCGCCATGCTGAGAGGCGTCTGTCCATCGTCTGCCTGCATGCCACTCCCAAAACCCTGACCGGAAGGTCTTGCTTTTCATTCACCAAGCCTCCCTCAGCCTCAGTACAAGCCCCTCCACAATAAGGTCAGGAAGCCCTGGGAACAAGCGCCAAATTTATAATGTGAGGGGTTCAGGCAGTATGGTAGTCCCTCTACCAAAACCGCGGGGCTGATTTGAAGAAACTCTCTTCTACATCGGAAACTTGTTGTTACCCGTCCAGGGCAGTCTTCAGAAGTACTTCAGAATGGCATGTCGAAGGCAACCTATCAAAACCTTGAAGCGTGAGCCAACCATTTGGTTGGCTGTTTGCCATGACTACGACTTGGATGGTCAGAGGGACTTGTAAGTAGGTTAAGAACTCCTATAACCCAAATACTAATCCTAATTATCTCCCTTATTAACCTGCTTACTAAGTCCCCCTGACCCTCCAAGTAGTCAGACTGAAATGATTCGGCAGGCCAAACTGCTCCCAAGTGCGTAGTTACTATGTGGGCGGGTACCTCACAAAAGGCTCATACAATGTGATGTCGATCTAGGCCTCCTAGCATGGAAACCCACATAATAGCTACCCACCTGGACCCCTCTGTGATAAAAGTTGGTAGTGTCCCAAAACAAGGGGGCCCCAAGATAGATTATAAGAAACCCCCAATTCTTAAGCGCCTGCGAGTTAACATCCACGTTGGCCTGGAGGAGCCCTACTGCCTTTTCCACGTCATCCTTCCTGAAGGCATAAGGGTGTAGGGTTCAAGGTTTTAGGGTTTAGGGTTTTAGACTCGATGCTGATGGGCCATAGGAATATACCTAGACCTTTCAACCCGGAGTCCCCAGAATGGCACTAACCCCGGAAAGAACAGAACACAATTGGACTGGATGGTCAAGGTAGGTGAATAAAGCAACCTTGGTGGGGTGTTTCTGCGCCATAGTCTAAACTCCTAATATCCCCGTATGATCCCCAAAATAATGAAATGACCACTTTAAAGGAGTTTAGACCAATTATAGTCCATTTACTGTGCACTAGGGCAGGCCTGGAGGACCCATAAATCCGATTTTTGATGGATGTATAAAGGTCAAACGAGGACTTAGGGAATGCAAGTTGAACATTGTTTTCAGAGCTGACCGCTGAACCCGGAACGCTACCATATATGAGCTATAGTCTAAACTCCTTGTATCCCCTAAAATACTCCCTGTATTATCCCCTATATGCGCCCTATGTAACCCCCTTTCAGGAGTTTAGACTAACCCAGACCCCGGATTAATAAACCCCCTCCCCGTAATAGGGATTATAATACGGATCTTAATATTTAGGCCTTCAAAAGGAGGGGGTTTATATATCATGGGTCTACATTATAGCTCATATGGGGTATTCGGAAACTGGTACTAACAAGCCCAGTGGCGAGGAGACGCGAAGAAGCTCAGACACCATCTTGTCGTTTTGTTTTTTCTCCTGCCAAAACTGTTGCAAGCAAAAATGTCAGGGTAATGTAGAACAATTTCAATTTCAATTTTAAGGCCATTTGGGTATTATTCCCTATATATACCACCATTAAGGGTAAGGTCGGGTGAGGTCGCTTTAAATTGCCCAGCAATGTGTGGCCTTGTATTATTTCTGCGCGAGGTCTGCCGAAACCTCAATATTTGAGGACTTGAACCCTACCTTAGGGACAGCACCCTCTGGTCTTTTCCACAGTGCTGTTGGACTCTGTTTACTGAAGAGGCCCTCCCTACTTAATGACACAACGTGTGTTGGGCGGCCGCGTGACGGCCCCGTACAATGCGCTGCGGTTTTGGGGTCCTAACCGAACCCAGTGTGAAGAACCATTGGAAGCTGTGGGGCAGAGGGGCCCTTGGGGGCCCCAGTGCTAGGGGGCACGACTAAGCAGGGTTCCACATTACCATGAAAGCCCCCCACCCCAAACTGCCTCCACAAGCTGTGAAACATGCCGCGCCAGGTTCAAGTTGAGGCGGCAGGGTGGTGGGCAGTCCACACACCGCCACTCGAGTCGCGAGCGCCGTGCAAAGTTTGCTGCACTCCAACGCAGCTCCTGCTTCTTCTGCCACCAAGAAGTCAAGCGGGCGAAGAGCTGCTTGCGCAACGCTGGGCTAGTCTGGTTGCAGGTGCCTTGCAGGTCGAGAAGCAAAACCTGCGGAGCCCAGAAGCCAAGGCCCCCAGCTGCCACGCCCAGAGTCGGCAGCTCATGCTGAAAGAGCACGGAGTCTTGCAACGCACGCGGTCCCTCCATGGCCTTGTTGACCAAAGCCACGACTGTGCCCTGCGTCTTTGCTCTCTTTCTCATGACAAAGGCCATGCTGGAGAAGGACCACATGTTGTCCATGAAGTGCCTCGTCTGGCTGGCATAGCAATGACTAAGTTCCCCGTGCAGTTCTATCAGCCGGCCCAGCTCAGTGGTTGGGTGCACAGTCTGGTGGTCAGTAGCCGCGGTAAAATCTGACAACGTCTGAGGAGTTGTGCGGTTCTCAGGATCGCCATCCCAGAAGCCGGCCCAAAGTAACGACGCGTGGTGGGCGGTGGCCAAGGGCACCAGCCAGTGCGCAGGAAGTAGAGGCTCTGAACGAGCTTTGCCACCTCCGGTGTGAGCTTCTTCTCCAGCACCTCTTCTTCAGGGACTTGCAAGGCTTCCACCAACCGTTGACCATAAATGAAAAGATCATCGGAGCTGGCCGCGCAGGTCTTCTGCGGCAGCTTGGGTTTGTAGTACTTGAAAACATAATGCTCCTCTGGGCTGGCTTCCTCACAGGCGGCTGCAAGACTTGCCAGCAGGCCACCTAATTGCCCCTTGCAACCTTCCTGGCCTCCGCCCTGTGCCCAGGAGACACGGATTTCGTGGAGCAACTCCATCGATTGCACATCTTCGTGTTCCGGGTCGCTCACGAGCTGAGCCGGAACAGAACCCAGGAGAGCAAGCCGCTCTTCCAGCTCTGCCTGGATACTCTTGGCACATACAGGGGCCACGTCTGACCACGGCGCATCTGATGACCCTGCCACATCCGCCACCTCAGTCCTCAAGGCGCCAGCTGAAGCCACAAATGCTAGAGCCGCCAGGGCAGAAAACACGCACTGGCGAGCCATCAGAAGTTGAAAGCGCCTTTGGCTGCGCCTTGCCAATATGAAAATGATTTTCTACGCACAAACAACACTGCATTGACCATCATGCCTGCGCAAAGCATTTGGTTTACCGCTCACGCAACTTCCCTTTCTGGCTCACCTGCCCTACCAGTGTGCCAACTTAATGGTGGGGAATAAGGCAATATGATCCCTATATGGCCCCAATAATATACATCTATTCATTTATTCCCTGATTCCGTACTAACCCAAAGTAAGCCGAGCATGTTGCCCCGTTCAGTCCAAACACCTTCTTGGGGTCATGCTGCTTGGGGACATCGGCCGGCCAGCTAGTTGACAATAAGCGAACTGTAGTCTCCTCAGACCTAGAATGAAAACACTTTTTATAATTCCCTATACTTATACTAGAATACAAAATAGGAGTACTTCCTAAGGAAACTACAGTGAAAGGCTTTGACGGCATGTGATATCATGAGGATTGGCGGGCCAAATCCCTCCACCTCACCCTAAACCCTAAACCCTCCTTAAACCTCATGCTCAGGCTGACTGCATGTAAATGCAGGAAAAAAGCAATCGCAGCCGTAGAGTGGTCGTTTGACCTTGGTTGCACCGAGCTCACCAGCAGTTTGGTCCTGTTCATGTGCCCAGCACTGCATGAAATCAAACTACACACCTTATAGATTCGGACAGTGATGTAGCCCGAAACCTTAACCGGGAATGCGAAGTCTTGAAGATCTTACACGGCTTGTTGCAGAGGTTTTCTCCTACACCCCAATTCATGGCGACCCAAAATATTCGGAATAATATGGTACTTTCGATGTTCTTTTCCATTCCCCTATGGACCCCTTTATAGACCTTTTTTGGGGTTCCCAGACTTAGTAGTACCGGCCCAGAGGCACCTCTCCACATAGTAGTTCCCAAAATAGGCCGACCCCAATATAGACCCCAAGATACTATAATCCCTATTCATGGGAGCCCCAAAATGGTACCCTTAGGGTTTAGGGCCTAACTTTGGGAAACCATAAACCCCATATAACCCCTGTATGACCACGATGTCCCTAAGTTTAGGAAACCTCCACATGAGTAGCGTTTTTTGTTGTTAAATCCAGTAAGATTATGTTCCTTATATAAAATACTATACCCCAAAAGGAGGATATAATCTTACTCTATAATGGGTACCATAGTATCCAAAATAAACCCTAAACCCTAAACCCTAAGCCCAAATAAAATACTACTCACATGCCGTCAAGTCGCCCCAGCCCGCATGGCGTTGAAGCGTTGCTCTTCGAGGCCACGACCTCGGCCGTAGGCCATCAAGGGTTCCTGTGGGTTGAACAACCCGGTACAAGCCTGAAACCCTGGACCTAAACCCTAAAGGCGCTTGTGGGGGGGGGCTTAGGGGTTGGAATGCTTGGGATTCAGAGTTGGGGTTGAGTGCTTGGGGTTGGAGTTTGGGGCTTAGGGCTTGGGACATCCTGCATGGAAAGCTCATGTAAGGTGGTCACTGCAAATGGTTGGGTCTTACTTGGGTTTAGGGTTTAGGGTTTGGGGTTAGGTTTTAAGGTTTCGGTGCAAGCTTCGTAGGTGGAGGGTGTGTCTGGTGGGTGTAATGGCTGCGGTGCAAAAACGGTGGGTACTTGGAGGGCCAGGGGGACTTCGCGCAAGTGGGTTCAGAAGGAGGAGAACTAGGATCAATATGTGGGTTATAGGGGTTAAGGCCCCCTGACCCTCCAAGTAGGTTTGGGGCTTAGACGTAGGCCCATGCAGAGTTACGGGCTTCGGGGCTAGTAGGGTAGGCTTGGGGGGCAATATCGAATTCATGGCTTTCATGATTTGTTAAGCTTTATACGGATTAGAGGTATTAATAGCAGGCTTATTGTCATATCATCGCTTTAAGGGGCTATACCTGCGGATAACTTGAGCTTTTACCCAGGTCGGTTTGAGTGAGATAGACTTTGTGCGGTGCAGGTCATGTAGAGTCCATGAACAGAATGGGGCATGCTTGGTAGAGTTTCGACCCTCCGTGCTGCAACATGATCTCTTGGAGCTCCTGGAAATTGACCAGAATCTGCAGCACATGGGGCAGTTAGGTTTCCTTGTCTATGTGACCATGTATCCCCTTCTCTGCAATGGAGCCTGAGGCATAATCCCGCTGCAAATGGCAGACCCAGGCAGACACCTGATAGGGGCTAATTACACATGGGGCGGAAATGGTTTTTGCAAAGGTGTGGTTGGGGTTGTTTTTTGGCAAAGGCGCGGCTCGCTCCTCACCAGGACCGAGCCACACCCACACCTTCGCAAAACTAAAACCGGACCCCACACATGGGACTTCTCCAAACAGCAAGTCCCTGGAATCCTATTTGGGGGGGTAACTACATGGAGGTTAGGGAAGATTGTAAAAGCCCCCTTTCAGCACCTATGTTTTTCTTGAAAACCTCCCGCCTCCCAAGCGGATCAAGTGGAATAGAGGATGCGTATCACTTGGCGCCAGAATGTCTAAAGATGAGGGCCCTCTCAGAACGCCCTGCAGAGCTAGGGATCTTCAAGCTAAAGCGCCAAAACATGTCAGCACAATTTTTTATTACTCATCTTCGCCATGTCTCAGATGAATAGCATGCTCATAGCCTAGAATCTCTCTTATGCAGCTCGGGGGCCTACGCTGTACTCACGCCTGGGCCGGGGGGGGGGGGGGGGGGGGGGGGGGGGGGGGGGGGGGGAGGGGACCCAACCGTGAACCAGGTCAGCGGGGGTCTATATGTGTTTACATGGATATAAATGAAGAATATATGTGTGTACATCATATATATACATATATATATATACAAAATTACTTATACACATGTATGGTATATGTTTCAAATATGAGACGACCAATGCACGCCCTATATTCCAGGCCCATGGTCAATCATAAGCCTAGATAGAGTGTTTAGGGTTCAGGTTGTATTTTGTGGCAGGCGGCGGTGGATGCCATGGTGACGACACCTTGCAGCACACAGACAGAGAAAACCGTTAAAGCACTTTTGCCGGAGAAGTATGGCTCCTCAGAACCGCATGTCCTCTACATTGACCCTCATACTGGTGGGTGTGGAGAAGAACGCTCCTTCCTGTAGATACCCACGTGACATACCTTTCCCCATGTCATCTCCAGCTATTTACATAGATTTCAGTGTCGCCCTCCCATCATTCCAATCATTGTGATTGTTGGCATGATGTTGGTGTTAAGGGTGAAGGGCTGCGAAGGATGATCACCAGGACTGTGACGATCGAACATGGGGTAAGTCTGTAATTCTCCAAATTTGTAGCTCGAATTCCCCCCATACGAGGCGCCTACTTCCCAGCGCTAGTTTGTCAGCTTAATGCTGCAGTGGTGCAGCCATCACCGTTTAGGCTTTGGAAAATGAATGGTAAGCCAAAGCTGTGTATTGTAGGAATTTCTTCAGGTACCAGGATGAAGACTAGGCCAAACAGTTAGAGAAAAGCCCAACTTGCAACTAGGGAATATCTTATTGTCATTGATAATGCTTCGTGTGGAAAACACAAATATGTGTCTTGTAATTTGCATCCTTCCATTTGATTTTCTTTTTTCCCGACTTGACTTTCCTCCGTTATGCACCCTCAACCTAGGGCATAAAGGGAACAGTGATTACCCTAAACCCTAAACCCTAAACCGGATGCTTGGGGAGGTTTGGCCATTTGTTTAACAGCGGTGTTGGAGGATGTAAGCTCATCCTGGCAGACTGAGTACATATGAGCTGTAGTCTAAATTCCTTCAGGGGGATTATTGTATCTCTCATACAGGTTCAGGGATTAGGGTTTAGGGTTTAGGGTTTAGGGTACATATGAGATGTAGTCTAAACTCCTTAAAGGGGATTATATGGGGGACTGCTATAGGGGTTATTAAGGGGGATACTAGGAAGTTTCGACTATAGCTCATATATATATATGTATATGTGTACAGTTAGGGGTTTTGTGGTGCACCGAGTTCTCCAGCGGTTATATTGGGGGCATTTGCAGTTTATGGTCCCCCTTTAGATAGAATATGGTTTTGGGTATATTATAATAAGATCCCCATACCCCATATTCTATCTACTAAAGAGGGACTATATCCTTCTACAACTCTATATAACCCCAACATACTATAGTAGTTTCCATTTTCTTTTCCAGTATCCCAATATACAACCCCAATATAACCCCTATATAATCCCAGTTTCCATTTCATTTTCCATTTTCTTTTCCATTTGATTCTCCATTATTGGGGGTAATACTATAGTAGTTTCCATTTTCTTTTCCAGTATCCCTATATCAACTAAAGGAGACGATATGTGCTGTGTACTTCTTCCACGGGCTCCCGGGTTTAGGGTTTAGGGTTTAGGGCTGTAGTCCTCAGGTATCCAGAAGTCAAGCCACTTGAAAGCAACTCTGCCTGGTCTGCATGTGGCCTATAGTCCCCCTTAAGTAGATAGAATATGGGGTATTTGGGATCTTATTATAAACCCAAAGCCATATTCTATCTATTTAAGGGGGACTATACACCCTAAACTCTAAACCCTAAATAGTAGTTTCCATTCTCTTTTCCATTATCCCAATATAACCCCAATATTCTATCTATTTAAGCGGGACTATAGGATCAAGGTTGGGTTAGATGCCAGTTTAATTGGTTATGCACTTGGTTTCATTGCCTTGGCCTCCAATTCCGGGCTTCAGCTGCCGGTTTATCTCTTTGGCGCATTTTGGCTAAGGTAGTCCCTTGTCTGTTCCTTCAATATTCGGCACCCTAAGCCCTAAACCCTATTTTGGCTAAGGTAGTCCTTCGTATGTTCCTTCAAAATTTCTCCCTTTATGCCCTAGACCCTAAGCCCTAAACCCTATAACCTTGCTGTGCCCAGGAAGACTGAGCATGGTATGCGAGAGGGCCTGCGTCTCCTGGGACTGCCGACAAGCCCTCTGCGCCCCGAGTGGCATTTTACGGATTTACAGTAGGGTTTAGGGATTAGGGTTTAGGGTTT